ACAATTATTCAAAGTCCACAAACGATAAAATAATAACAAGTCCACATACATATTAATTATTCAAAGTCCACAATCATTATACATTATTCAAAGTCCACATAAATTGAACATTATTCCAAGTACACAAACAATAAATTATTCAAACTCCACAAAATATTCAAAGTCCACACAACATAACAAAATATTCAAATATCCACAAACATCATTAATTATTCAGTCCACATAAATTGAACATTATTCCAAGTACACAAACAATAAATTATTCAAACTCCACAAAATATTCAAAGTCCACACAAATTGACAATTATTCAAAATACACAAACAATGAGACATTTTCAAAGGATAACAAATATTCCAATTCCACACAAGATACAAAATTATTCAAAGTCCACACGGGATAAAAAATTAGTCCGATTCCACCGGCGTAATACGTTATTCCGAGTTCGCGTGCGTCGATAATTATTGCCGGTCCTCGGACCCGACGCGTAAATTTCCCGTTCCACAAAAGGCAAAACAAATTCAAAGTCGACAAACATTATCAATTATTCAAAGTCCACAAAGGTTAACAATTTCAAGTCCACAAACAACTACAGGTTGTAACTCTCTAGTCCGGCATTCTGTGCTCCGCAAACTCCCGTGGTCCGGAACAATTTTACTTTCTCCAACAGGTACATAGGCAGTTTTTTTTTTTTTTTTCTTGGAAATTATCATTATTATAGCAGGAGTATTAAATTTTGGCCCATCACGCCCAAACGTGGGTCAGTGACTTATGCCCAGGTGGGCTAATCCCCTAAAAAACAAAAAACCCAGCAAATTAAGGTTTGTTTACATCCAGCACTTCAGCTGCTCTCTCTCTCTTTGTCTATAGAGTACAACATTTAACCCTTCAGCAATAAATAAGTGTTGCTTTCATATTCTTATGTAGAATAATGACGATATCTTTTCACATGTGCGCACTTACGTATGCGCACTCACTTTTTTTATGGTTAACTACTTATATTGTTCCATTTTTTAACATTACACGTACTTCAAACGAGCATATTAATTTTTTTACATTAATTTTACTGCAGCTAAAATCAGGGTCTTATTTTCTTCACTTTTATATGTACAACCAATCGGTCACTGGTTTTGTGAGCTTTAACGTAAACGATGCCGGCAGCCGTCTCGTCTCGTCTCCTCTGATATTCCACGTATTATTAATAAATTCTATTGTTAATTTTGCACACACAAACATTAATTCAATAAAAACAAATTCACAAACATCAATTACAATATATATGAACAATAAATAAGTGTTGCTTTCGTATTCTTACGTAAAGTAATGACGATATCTTTTCGCATGCCCACTTACACGCGCGATCTCTTTTTTTCTTTACCGTTATCGTTAGCTACTTCTATTGTTCCATTTATTAACATTACTTAAAACAACCATATGTAGAACCAGTCAGTCACCGATTTTGTAATCGACGAAAACAATGCCGTGTGTTTTAATATTCTACGTATTATTAATGAATTGTATTGCTCATTTTGCACACAAACAGTAATTCAATAAAAAAGACATTCACTAATAAACAATAATGAATCTTTTCTACACGAGAGAAATGACGCTCTTTACGCGATTGTGCCAGTCGTCTGCACGTTGGCGGGCCGTTCGAACCCGTCGAAATTCCACTTTCCGCCGTCAAAATTTCTATTTATTTATTTTTGGGTCTGTTCCAATAAAATACGTTAAGAATTAAAAACTCTCCAAATTTGACGAGCTACTATACGACATTTAACCCTTCAATATGTCTTCAAAGAGGCCGTGATGCAGAGAAAGTGGTGCTAGTGCTTCCAAGCATAAGCACAAGTCACTATCTATCCAGGAAAAGGGTCAATTTCCATGGTCCGGCACCGGTCCGGTCCCGAGGTTGCCCGACTAGAGGTACGACATTTCGGTCCACAAAATATCTCACTTATTCAAAGTCCACATACATGCAACACATTTTCCAAATCCACAAACCAAAATAATTTCAAACTGCACAAATGACTATACTATAATCAAACAACAACAACAAGTCAAAACATTTTTCAAACTACAAATAACTTCAATCAATTACAAACAAACATATACAAGTCTACAAATATTCAAAGTCTACACGTAACTCGACTGCAATAAAACGGACGTGACGAATTGCACGTCAAACTGTATTGCGAGTCCGCGCTTAACTTCCGTCGATTCGAAGACGACCGATCCGCGGACGATTGACTTTCGTCGACGACGCCACATTTTTTACGACTCCGCGAACGGATCTATTACGACAAAAAATAACTCCGCGACTCCCGCAATTTATTGCGGCCGTTCCGGTCGATTCCGACGACGCCAAACTCCCGACAAAATATTCCCGGTGCGCAATTGACACCCTTCAAATTAAAACCAATAACTATTCCACAATAAACAATTTCACAAGTCCACAACATTAACTTACACTCTTCGACTATTTCCCGATATATAACTGCCCAAACCCGACGCGACCGCATATTCAAACTACAGACGGTACGTGCATTCTCGTCCTCGATGACAGTTACTTTCCAAATCTAAATAGAACTCCTCCTCTTCTTAACAACAAAATTTAGTCAAATATCAACACAATATATCTAATTCACACTCACAACATATATATAACAACAAATAAATACAATCCAACATACACACAGCAGCAGTAATACAACCACAAATTCAATCGCTAACAACAAACGTATACAGGGACACAAAAACAACCAACAAAGGGAAAGAAAGCAACAAACAAATGGGAGTAACAACAGGATCAAGAGCAATGGGAGGGTGACAAACAACAAGGGAATCACAATCAAACAGAGGACGAGAAGGAACAGAGGGTGAACAAGCAAAACAATAAACAAGGAAACGAGGAAGACATAAGGCGAAGAGGAGGAGTAAAAGAAGGAAACAGGAAGAAGAAGAAGAAGAGGACGGACAGAAGCAGGTAGGGGGGAGAAGCCGCACGACAAACACAGAAACGAGGAACGCGTCAAAAAAGGAGGAGGAGGAGGACGGGGAGGCAGAGGGAAAAGACAAAAAAGGGAGGGCTTACAAATTAAACATTGTGCTCGTATTCCTTCCCCTACTCGTCCAACAAATTTTATTATTATACAAACGCCTTCACAATAAACACCTTAACACGAGTGGAGCAACACGGAGTACGGGTGAACGAGTATAAATTCATCCCAAAAATATATTACTGCTGCATCACGTATTTCCTTACCGGTAGATGTCGCTGTCTCAAAATAGGTACCCACGCGCATTCCACGACTGCCCGCTCTCAAACGCACTGCCACAATTACGTAAAACTAATACACCTGTCGAACCTTCCCGCCATTTCAAACACGCGACTCTCAGTTCAATCTACTTCCAAATCATTCTTTACGCATCTCGCGGGTATACTTCCGTAACTACTGCCGTACTTCCCCGCGGTACCTCGGAGACTTTCGTTTGTGCGCCGCCTCGTCTCCGTCGGTCCTCTTTCCCGTCCCGTAAACGGACCCCGATCGACCGTCGTCCGTATCCGCACCCGCCGCTTTACGTACGACCCTTTCCTAAACCGCCATTTACTAAATTCGTCGTCGTCCGTCCCACGTCGAAAGGTTATTGCGATCGTCGCTTCCGCCAATTTCCCTGCAACTTCTTTAAAATCCCCGTCGCATCCGTTTCTCACAATTACGCCGACTTGGCACTGACGAGTCAATTCCTTTAATACCCTACAAAATATATCATTCGTTGTCCCCCCCACCACCATCCTTATCACCTTTTACTTTATATCTTCACTAATATATAACTACTCTCTCTGTCCTAAAAAAACCCACCAAATAGTCATCATTTCTCCATTCTTATCGGTTACCACAACAACACCATCTATGTCGGTCCGATCTCCCCCGTTCTTTTACTTTCAAAAGGCGCGCTTCCCCGCCGCCGCCGCCGCCGCGTTCTCTCGTATTTATGCTGCCGTTATTTACGGATGCGTCCCGCCACAAATGACGTGCGCGCCGCATTCCGTGACGTTCTACGATCGTAATCATCTCCCCAAATTAGTGCAAACACCTAGTGATCACAGGCAACATCTTCAATAAATTCATTCTCGACATGTATCGACTTCCTCCGTCTTCGCAGAGTCGGTCTCTAAAAACAATACTACAAACATTATAACAATCGTTACAAACAACACGTACATTCATTTTACACGTTAAATCGTCTTTAAAACAATCCCGCCGGCCCGACATTGATGCGTGTCTCCTTCTGCGTTGACGAGTGTCTTCCCGCACTCGGGAGTGTGGCGTTCTTCCCGTGTTCCGGAGCATCTTCCTCGCGCGTCGACCGGTGTCTTCGTCCGCAGTCGACGAGCGTCTTCGTCCTCGGTTCCCGAATGTCTTCGTCCGGACCGCTCTCGCGCGCCGTCTCCGACTCGTATCGGCGCGCTCCTCCGCAACTGAAACGGACAAATTACTGTCAAAATATATCGACAATTATCTACTATTACAAATTATACTAATTCCCAAACAAACTTCATCTAAGTTCATTCTTTCTACAGTATACCTATACACAAACATATCTACACACTATTGCCAACTAAAACACACAGGCATACTCGACTACCCCACAATTACGTCCCGCACAAATTACTCCTCCCGCTCGTGCCGTACGCGGGCGCCGACGTCGCGCTCTGCCGTATCTCCGTAAATACCCGCGACCCCGTCGCCTAATACAAGATCAAACTCGACGCTCCTCCACCCGTCGGTACGGTGTGCTCGTCGCCACCTCCCATACTTAACGATTATCAAAAAACATACAATATACCTATACATAACATAATATTAATTGTACATATTCGTACCATTCCCAAGAACTCGAGAAATCTATAAGACGATTGGGAAAGTCCACTCGATCCGGACCGGTGTACTTTACGACCGAATGTACGTCGTGCTCTCGAGGTCGTACCATTTACGTCTGTGAACGTCCGGCGAACGTAACTTCCGCAGATGTCGCGTAAAAATACGCGACGACGGAGATCCGGTACGAGGATAAACGTGTTGGCGGTGAACCAAAAACTATACGGCGAGTTCTGCTATAACGCGTGTTTTGACGACGCGATTTATGAATTGAGAAACGATATTTGTAAGACGCGAACTCGTTTGCTCCGACGCGATTCCACTCGAACGATTGTTATGGCTTCGGTTCACGTTCGACATCGCGTGTTCAATTGAGTCGTGTGTTTTGTTTGTGAACAATTGCAGAAATAATGTATGTAATATTTATGTATACAGTATACCTATATATTATAAGTCAATTGTAAAATTTTAAATAAAAGAGACAATCAAATTACATAACGTTTTACACCGGCGCTCTCTTTACATCACACAGTGTTTACGGTTCACGTTCGACATCGCATATTCAATTGATTTGTGTGTTTTGTTTGTGAAGAATTGCAGAAATAATTTATGTAATATTTATGTATACAGTAAACCACTCACAAGGTCCTACAGTGACAACAAAGGGAAAGTGACCTCGACTGTGACCGTCTGTGCCTATTTTTAGCCGTCCTTGTGGTCGGTAATGCATATCGGTATATTTACTGATCATAATACTTATCTCCTATAAATAATTCATTTGAAATTTATTTTTGGGCAAAGAATATTCGGTAAATGACTGCGTTAATTCTTGAAACTACCTACATTGGTAAATTTAGGACATAAATGATGAACGGAAGTCACGTCACGGATTCGGAGTTTGGTCCTTAACGATCGCCATAAATGTACATTACCGGGTATAATGGTAGCCTCCCTTTTTCCAGAAAAAATACTTGCAGCATATTTAATATATTACAGTATATTATAAATAAATAAATCAACAAATAAATTCAAATTCCCTTATCATCCTGCGTTATAAACAGAAATACTCGAGTCCCCGAGCGAGTACACAAAAAGAAAACGGACGACCGACACATCCTCGAGTGGATAGAGAACGGACATCTCTACTGGGGGACTCGAACGTTTCTCGTGTTTTGTGGGCGCTGTAGCATAATATGAATATGTAAATTGTAAAAATTTAAATAAAAGAGAAAAACAAAATAAGTAGCGTTTAAAGTGTACTTTACATTGTGGCTTGGCGCAGGGTTATGCAGTGTTTACAGTTCACGTTCGACATCGCAAGTTCAATTGATTTATGTGTTTTGTTTGTGAAGAATTGCAGAAATAATTTATGTAATATTTATGTATACAGTATACCTCTACAGTATATGTAAAATTTTAAATAAGAGAAAAACAAAATACATAGCGTTTTAGACCCGCGCGCTCTGTTTACTCCACACTTTGTTTGAAACACGTGTGAAATTTTTAAGTGTCCTCGGTGATTACTGTTTCTCCAATTTTGTGACTATGGAAAAGAAGAATATCTCTGGGAAGCACTCTGGTGATCATAAAAGAAAGGCTATAACACTCGAAGAAAAGCTTGATGTTTCATGACTCCTCAACATCAATCTTCTCCCCCATCAAGTTATATTCAGATTTTTTCAAGGTAAAGTGTAACATTTACTGTATGATTTCAATATTAGATATGAATGTAACATTTATTTAGACTGTACTACGAAATTTTTGTCGATTTGGAGTAATCTGCACCTAACCCTATTTTCTCCATAAGCCCTGTCATTTCTATTACACGAATTTCTATAACACGATGTTTTACAAGAACACAACTATCGCGTTATAGCAGAACTACCTGTACTCGAAAGGAAACGTCTCGTATGCATCCGCGTAAACTCGATACGCCTCGTCTCCTCGGGACGTGTACGGCGATGAGGATAATCTTACGTCTGCGTTCAAATGGTGCAATGTGTCTGAGGAGGATCCCTAATTACACTTTTAAGGGAAGTGGATATACCCACGCCACGAACTTTCGGCTTCTGTTCCGAGGGATCGTCCCGTGTACCCGCCTCCGGCGTGCCGCGTTCCTATTATGACCCGCAATGTGCATACAATAACGCCTACTTGCAATACAGTATAAAACATAGGACATAAATACATATACCCCATCCTCCATTACAAGCTACTACATTCTTAACCCTTACACCCAGGTGACGTCCATCTGGTCTCCCCTTTGTGGAGGAGGGGGTGGGGAGAATTCATCTTGTTTCTCGATTTATCCCAATAGGAAGGGAGGGGGAAGTGCCAGCAGCACCCTAACCCTTGGCTTATGGGTTAAACTCCCATTTTTTAATAATACTTTTCATATTGTATCCAACACTTTTAGACCAGATATGACACCTTCAATTCTATATCTCTATGCTAAATTAAGTACTCTCGTTATAACACTTGTAATGTCCGTCCCTCTACGCATTTTCGATGGCACCCGAGTCTCGTCGTCGGTCGCATTTTCATTTCTCCCTCGTTATCTTTACGTTCTACTCTTTTACTCGTAAATTCCCGTCTTATTTCCTCTCGGTGACCGGTCAAAACTTCCTTCGATATTTCGTCGACGACGCGCCGCTTAATAAATTCTCGTCTCCCTTAAAAACCTTCCACTTACTCTACGCAATTCCTACGGAGACGCCGAGGCACGCCACATACGCATTCCTATTCTTCAGAGAACCATTAAGTAAATACCGTACACTGCGATATAAACATTACAATACGGCGTCGTCCGACATTCTCACCCGCGGTTCGAGCGGCGTCCTCGGCCGGGGTCCGTCGAGTCGCCGGTCCGCACAAAAATGACGTTTCTGACTCCCGTCGGGTGACTGCAAATGAAAAATTAAGGTTAAAAAATATACATAGTCAATTAGGCATGCAAATTATACATGAACCCTTGACACCTAACCCAAATATCTGAGTACATTCTCTAAAGACCTGGATACATTTGCCAAACATACACTTTCCATTGGAAAATCTTACATACTTAGGCAGCCACCAAACGGGGAGATACCACCTCCGCAGACAATATTGGAAGCGTAATGTGTCGTCCGTGGTAGATCTTCCTGCTACGTGGCATCCCTAAAATTGTGACCGAGTCCCGGGTCGCTCGTCTGACTCTCTGCCTCGTTAACACTCGATTGTTTCTCTTACTATTGACAACACAACATAAATATATTGTTCCTCACTTTTGATTTTTTTTTCCATTTTGTATTTCTTTAAGGTTCTTCAGTATTATTGTTACATATAAACTAGGTTACCCCATATTTATGGCAATATGTTATATTTTACTTGTGGAATAAAGCGCCACTTTGAATGCGCACGTGTGTTTTGGTTTCGTTTTTACGGACGGTCCCGAAAATATACCGGAGAGAGCGTCGTCGTTTGTGTCGTCGTCTGAGCCTCTCGCATCATATTTCGTTGATATCCACCAAAAATGAACACTGTAACTTCAACAATTATTATTATTATTACATTTTCGCCCCGATGTGGGTCGGTGACCCGTGCCCGGGTGGGCTAATTCCCATACAAAAAATACGTATTATTTATTTACTTTGCACTTTTATACGTACGAGTGTCGACGAAATTAATCTGCCGTTATTTACGCGATCTCATTTCTTGCGCACTTTCGACGGTTCGCCGATTCGACGCGTGCCCTCGTTCTACTCCGGATGCACGTCAAATACCCGACGACGACGACGACCCCTCCGGGAACGTCGTAGCGTCGACCTCCGGCGCGCCCCGCGACGAGAAGACCGCTCCGGAATTTCGACGAGACGTCGCGTCGAACGGCGTTCCGGACTATACCCTCGACGATGACTGCGAGTGGCCTCGGACCAAACCCCACGCCTCCCGAGACACGGTCGAGTGAGGCTTCGGTCTCCGTGCTCGCCGATCGCCGCAATATAATACCAATTAAAACACTGCACTGTATGGCAAGTCTACCCTACAATGAATCCCCAAATCTGCTGTACCAAACATTCACTTGCCTAAAACGGTTAGCACACACACATCCACCCAGGCAAAAGAGGGGACTTCAATCGACTACTCTTGTTACCGACGACGAAATGTACGGCGGAGGAGCCGCGCGCTCGGTCCGTGGGCGTCAAACCCGAGCGTTCCTTTAATCGCGGGCTGTGGTTCCGCCGGAAGATGCCGTTCCTTAATTTCTGCAACGTGAAAGCCCGTCCTCCCAATTTCTCGCACGGCAACCGCCGGACGCGACCGCCTGCCGATGCCCTCTGGGTCCCACGCCACCCAAACAAACCCACCTAACTTTAGTAAATGGAAACGTACGTGCCCGAGAGTGGCGTACGAGTATTCTACGCGTGTCGCCGCATTCTTCTCCCGCCGAATGCATTCGCCGCTGCGCATTTCGATGCGTTTTCCATTGAAGGACTAGGGTGTGGTTAGCAAATTATTTAAAGGTATGGAGGAAGGGACAGAGGTGGGTAAAGGATAATAGAGAAGGAAAGGAAGAATGGTACGTGAAGAAAGGGAGGGGGGACAGATGGTGGGATAGAGGGGTGGAAGGGAAAGATAATAGATGAGGAAAGGAAGAGTGGTAAGTGGAGGGAGGGATACATTTAGCTGGAGGTAGAGGGAACAAGGGGTGGTATAGTCGTCAAACTATCCGTTAATCTTTAACGTCGTGTACTCGGAGCTTCCGTCTTCTCGAGTGCCGGAGCGGGTCGCCGCAGTTGTTTTGGGGGTCGACCGTCGGGCAAGTTTTAGCATTCTTACTTAATGAAATACTGTACATTACAAATACACGTATAATATGACCTTAAGCTAAAATAACCATTGACTGAGCTTTAGTTATCCTTAAAATAGCATCCATAAAAATAGAAAAACACGTAGGTTATTCTCGACGATCGTCTCGCGTCGGAGAGCGGCACTCGCCGACCCGTCTCCGGAGCGACGATCTACGGTCGTTCTTCGTGTCCTTCTCCCGGATCGCGCTTCCGCTGCCGACTGCTGCCGTTGCCCGAGGCGACTTCTTCTGTGGGTTAAGTTTGTGATGTGAATGCTGCCTGCATTTAATAATTATACTGCACTACATCTATACAACCATTGCATAGGGTATTATAAATCAATCGTAATGCCCTCGTAAAATATCGTGTTGATCATTTTTAATTTGTGTCGTGTACCGGTAAGCAGAGTGTCGAGTGGCCGGAGGTGTGTCCCGGGCCGACGGCGAGACGATACCCTACGTGATGGAACTAATCTACGATCGTAACTAGTCTATTGCTAGAAAATGCAATATACTGCACGCGAGACTACGTAAACGAGTACTTCTCGCAAACGACGACGGACCGTACGACTGCGCAATACGGGCCGAATCTCGAGCGGGCCCGCATCCGCGGACGGACCGCCCTCGGCGTGCCCGTCGACGGACACGCGCGCGACAAAAATCGCCACGACTATTTACTAAACGAAGAAACGGCACGTCGACGACCCGACGGCATTGTCGAATATTACGTCGTCGACGCGTTTACGTAAAATTGTTACCGGTGACGCGAGGCGCATTCCTAGAGAGCTAATAGCTTTAAACCAAATTTGGACTCAATTAAAGTGGTTTCAATGGAACAATTTACTTTGGTACTCGAGACTAACACAAAATACTAAAAAGACCCAATATACCCAAATGCACCTCGGCCCATCTCCTACAAAACATCGTTTTTGTAGTATCGCGTTAAAACGGACGCTCGTAAATCGACGCGGCTAAAATTATGAGACGCGAAATGGCCCGTTTACTCGTGATCGGATTCGCGGCAAGATGGGGAGGAGGGTTATCGGTTTGACAGTTGATGCCAAGGTCTAGAGCTTATTTATTTATCTGTCCTTAACAGTGACTTTCAGGTTTTCTCTTATGAAATATCACTAAACTGACTTGGAAGAATATAATTAACATTGCTGGAATTCTTATAAAATTGTGATTACTTTGAATATAAACATGCTATAGTTCACATACAAATTTTAGTTGTAACTAATTTTATTACAAAGGGCTACAAATTTTTATCTCTTGTGCAAAATATACAACGTTTATGTTAAAATTATTAGCCGTCTTGTAACGATTTTAGCAATGCAAATTAAATTCTAACTTTTGTCTGTGATATTACTTAAGATAAAGCCCGGCGACACCGACGGTTGGCGCCCGGGTCTGTGGCGCATTTTTTCCCGGCCGGGAAATGACCCGGGTGAATATAATTAACATTCTTGGGATTCTTGTAACATACTGATTAATTTGTATATAAACATGCTATAATTTCCACTAGACATAACAATTTTAGTACCCAAATCAAATTAGTACAACAAAACTCCAGCTTTGCATTAAGGTCAATTATTTCTTTTAGTATGCTGTGTGCATGTAAATGGATGAAAATAAATGAAGAAATTGATGTAAATCTACCCAAAAATACAGTTCAAAAACTTTATATTATAAAATGTACTACAGTACTGTACACTAACGTACAACAATTTTTATCTCTCGAGCAAAATATATGACGTTAACATTCAAATTATTGGCTGTCTTGCAAGGATTCCAGCAATGCAAATTATAATCTCCTAACTTTAGTCTGAAATATTATGTAAGATAAAAACTGTAAGCCTAAAACCCTGGCTCAACAGATGGGGGAGAGAGTTAAGAGGAGATGTTTGACAGTTTGAGCCGAAGGTCTCTGTGAGTTTATTTAACAGTCCTACTAAGCTTCTCTCATTTTAAAATGCCAGTGAAATGACCTGGTACAATATAATTAACATTGCTGGGATTCTTGTAACATACTGATTAATTTGAATATAAACATGCTGTAATTTGCACCGGACATAACAATTTTTGTACCGTAATCAAATTAGTACAACAATGCTCCGGCTTTGCACCGAGGTCGTTTATTTCTTTTACGTTTCTTTTATTGTGGTGTCTGCATGTAAATGGATGAAAATAAATGAAGAAATTGATATAAATCTACCCAAAAATACAGTTGAAAAACTTTATATTATAAAATGTACTACAATTTTTATATCTTCAACAAAATACACTATATATAATGTTTATATTCAAATTATTGGCTGTCTTGCAAGGATTCCAGCTATGCAAATTGTAATCCCCTAACTTTAGTCTGAGATATTATATAAAATAAACACCTTAAAGCATAAAGTTATCACCAATGTTTTGTCTGGGAACACAAGGAGGGAGGTAGCCAGCGAGCAGGGGGGGGGGAAGTGAGGTGACAATGTCTTTATTTATTTGAGATAAGATTTGACAGTTGGCGCTGAAGGCCCGAGTGTTTATTTATCATTACTTAAGAGTGACTAAGCTCTTCTCATAATTTGCCACCCAAACGACCTGGGTGAATATAACTTGTAAGATAGTATTTGAATATCTGTGTAAACAATCTATATTTGCCATAGACATAACAATTTAAGTACCGTAATCGTTTAGTACACGTACAGTAAGGGTTTGCACTCGGGTCCATTGTTAACCGAGGGACCGCTGTAATTGCAGTATACTTATACTGTACAATATTGACTAAATTCACTAGATAACGTACATAACTAATGGTCGGTAAAACTTGTCAAGTCTCTCGGTATGAGTGGCACGTGTTAGTGCTCGAGTCTCCCGTCGTGGAAGTCCGTTTTCTCTCCCTTCGGGATGCCCGAGTCCATTTTCTCTTAATCTTAGAGTGCAGTGCACCAGAGACTTCGTTATTCCTCAGTAATGACACAGAATTTCAAATTGCAACCCCAATTGCAACTAGGGTTGCAATTGTTGAGGCAACTAGATATGTCCGATTACAGCAAATGTGTTATTGTCAATTTGTAGGTGAAAGATTTTATCCTCAATAGATGTAGGTTAACATTACACCTGGAGGAAAATGCTTACTAAAGCCTAAGGAATGATATTCCTTTAACACATAACATCTAGCCAGTACGGGAAGGATCGTCGTGTCTCCATCAGGGGGGTCTTGGAGTGGTGGTCCAGCAGGCATCACGGAAGTGTTTTTTCGAGGGGGGGCACGGACGTACGGTCGGCCTTTCACATACGCGGGTTTAGCATTCACGGATTCGCAAATACGCGGATTGCCCCGCCAGAGGAATATTCTGTACATTGAAGTAATTGAAGTACAGTCAAGCCTTGCTCATGGGAAAGCAGTACAGAGACAATTCGTGAAGAAATTGTGTAATTATTAAGCTACCTCTTAAAAAATCCTTGGCTCTTCATGCTCTATTTATCAAGAGAAAGTACCAGGTTTCGAAAGTTTAAGACAATAGTTTACAATTAGCCATAGGTTGAAAATATTTACCAGTAATCATTGTTGTTTCAGCCCAAATAAACTATTAGACGATGTAAATGTGCATTCATTAAAAGTTAATCTCGTAGACACTAAGTATAAATTTTTTTTTTCAATATCAATTTTGTTAATTAAATTTGAACGATATTGATTTTCATTAAAATATTACATCACAAGTATATTTTACCTTAACCGTGACTGAATGAATATATTCTCGGAAATAAATATGGAAATGTAATATTTTTGCTGGAATGACGTACATATTATGGTGGGAAGTGGGATAAAATCATGACGAAACACTTTCGCTTTCTTTCGTTGTTCAAAATATTTTACCGTAATCGCTTTTCGAATGGTTTTCAGTTAAAAAACTGTTGCATCACAAGTGAATTAGGATAGAATATTATTGTAATACAACAGTTTTTTAACTGAAAACCATTCGAAAAGCGATTACGGTAACATCTTTTGAACGAAAGAGAGCGAAAGTCATTGTTTTCGTCACGATTTTGTCCCACATTCCACTGTAATACTTACGTCATTTCAGCAAAAATATTTCATTTCTGTAACCGAAAACTATTAAAAAAACGAAGGTTAGGTGAAGTCTTTTGTTTTCGTCATGTATTTTATCCTATTTTACATTGAAATACATCACGTTTCAGCAAAATTACTATTTATTTCCAAGAATATATTCATTCGGGCGCAGTTTAGGTAAAATATACGTGTGATGTAACAGTTTTTTAATTGAAAACGATTCGAAAAACACGTACCCTCTGGCCCCGTTCAAGGAGAGGACTGGGAGAAGCTGTGTGGTGCTGCAGACGATGGCAAGGAAAATGATTTGGATTGATTTTAATGAAAATATTCAGAAATATGGTATCGTAGTATTTATTCAAGTCAATTAGGATAGAATATGATTGTAATACAACAGTAGTGACGATGTGGAGGAGGCGGAGGGATAGAGCGGGGAGGAGTGGTGACTGGCGGGAGCAGGGACGAGTGGAGATGCCAGCCAGTACATTACGGGTGTATTAATTGTTTTTATAGCTATTTTTGCATTTTAATGTTAAATACTGTACATTACCTTTCAACAAAACTACCATTTATTTCTGAGAAGATGGAAATGTAATATTTTTGCTGAAATGATGTACGTATTACAGTGGAAAGTGACGAAAGCAATGACTTTCGCTTTCTTTCGTTCAAAAGATGTTACCGTAATCGCTTTTCGAATGGTTTTCAGTTGTGGGATTATAAGTCTAATGATAGGATAGAATATTATTGTAATACAGTACGAGTACAACAGTTTTTTAACTGAAAACCATTCGAAAAGCGATTACGGTAAAATATTTTGAACAACGAAAGAAAGCGAAAGTCTTTCCTCATGATTTTATCCCACTTCCCACTATAATATGTACGTCATTCCAGCAAAAATATTACATTTCCATATTTATTTCCGAGAATATATTCATTCAGTCACAGTTAAGGTAAAATATACTTGTGATGTAACATTTTAATGAAAATCCAGTATCGTAGTTTTCTCTTGTTTCAAATTTAATTAACAAAGATTGATGTTTCAAATGTAATGAACAAAAATTTATGTCCAGTATCTATAAATTAACTTTAATAAATGAAGACTTTGTTTTACATCGTCCTGTGCTACCATACCATGGATTTGGCTACTTTGGGCTCGCAAGAGATCTGCCCTGGCAACTGTACGGACACTCACAGCTGGTGGTGTGTTGGTGCATCGTTTCCATTGTTTACTGGTAGTTACTGGCAAATATTTTTCAACCTAACGAAACTATTACCCGTTTAGAGGTCGACCCCCAATTTTTGCCAAATAATTTGGTCTTAAAAACTCAAACTACACACAGGTATATACGGTAAATAAGGACATGGGGGGCCAGGGATTTTTTAGGGGGGGGGGTAGCAATAGTACACGGAATTTTAACATTCACGGGTATCTCTGTTACCTAACCCCCGCGAATGTTAAGGGCCGACTGTATATGCTATCGGATGTTAACCGGCGCACGACTGTATGTGTTTTTGAAAGATGCAAATCCTCCGAGGATTCGCATCGCACGTAGCGCGAATTTGGATTGCGTGTCGTAAACGGACGCCGAGCCGGTCATTACCGGGATCGTACGTCAAATGAACCGAGGAATTATCGGAAAGACACAACGGGGAGAGAGGCGCTATTATTAGCCTTCGCGACGAGGGTACGCGCAACGCTCGAATAACTCGGCACAATGGGGCGAGCGAACCCTCGGGCATCGCGATGGGTTACCCGCCGCTAAACGACGGGCGACGCGCCGATTAAAATCCTATTTTGACGTTAAACCGACGCCATTTACGTATCGATAATATTTGGCAGATCCCATTTAGACCAATATATTGTATATTGCTGTACCTGTTCACTCTAATATCAACTACTATTTGCTCCGTCACTCCTCAAAAAATCAGACGTGTCGTCGACGACTACATTGTGCATCTCGGTACGAATAAAACCGTCGCTACGACGCGGTGGCGAAACGTATGCCCCGAGGTCCGTCTCGGTCTAGCTCGTGACGTTCCAAAACTCTTCCGTTTAATGTATATTCCGATATTTTTGTAATCCTCGGTTGGGGGCCTCGCTTCTAACCGGCACGATACATACATTAATATAGCTCAATGAATTTCTTGTTATAGTAAAGCATATACCGTACGGTCGTATGTCACACGAGGACGACTCCCTCGCTACCCGCCGTCTACGGCTATTGCTCATATAGTGACCGGATGTACCTGTACCAACTTATGCTGATGCACTGGGGATCACAGCAAAGTATTTCATCTAGAGTTTCAAATTTTACCGCTAGAAAATTCAACCGATACTTTTTGGGGGACCGTACATAATTTGGGGGGAACTGTTTTCGTTGTAGAAAAGTATCTTGGCTTTTATAATGTGAGTCTATAGGAATAGTGATTCGATTTACCATAGGTTTTTATAAGACACAGTACTCTTATAAACTGGGGAATGCCTGTAGAACTTTCCTAACATTCAAAGTACCACAACAATATTAAATACAATACCACAGACTACTTGAGGTCCAGTAAACTTTATGTCCAGCCAACTTCATTCTAGTTCACATCAGGTCCACTGTAGGCAGTGTTGGAGAAAGTGCCTGAAAATATTACTTAAGATAAAGTACTGCACTGTTGATATGTAAAAATTTAAACTATGTCCTGTAGTCTTCTTCAAAACTATGCAAATAAAAGTTTACTCAACTCAACTGATTCATATAAGTAGAAAAAAGTATTTAGAGTACCACAGCATTTATAGAGCATCATAATTAATAAACAATGACATTATGTTTTGAAAACGAAACTTAAAGTTATTAATATACTGTACTGTACTTTAAAGAAACACGAAATAAACACACATTCAAAATTGGGTGTGGGATGAAAAACGTGATTCTGGGCCATATTTTGGAAGTGTCGCGTACCGCCGACGCCAATGGGACGCGACCTTACGCACAAACATTTACATAAATGCCCACTTTTATAGGATTACTGTACAAGTGTACTGAAATACAAGTACAGGTTGTACCTCTCCGGTCCGGCAACCACGGGACCCGACCGGTGCCGGACGCCGGATATATCCCGACCGTGGAAATTCGCCCTCTTCCTGGACAGATAGTGACTTCTGTTTACACTTGGAAGCACTAGCACCACTTTCTCTGCTTCGTGGTCTCTTTGAAGACATATTGAAGGGTTAAATGTCGTACAGTACCTTCTCAAATTTCGCGAGTTTTTAATTCGACGTTTTCTATTTGAACGCACAAAAAAACCGACACATTTAAAACTTTTGACGGCGGAAACTCAAATTTCGACGGTTTGAATGGCCCGCCGACGTTCGGACGACGTGCACGATCGTGTAAACGGCGTTATTTCTCTTATGTACGAAAGATTCATTATTATTTATTACTGAAAGTCTTTTGGATTGAATTAATGTTAGTGTGTGCAAAATGAGCAATACAATTCATTAATAATACGCTCAATATTAAAACGCGAGGAAATGAGACGGCACCGTTTTCGTCGATTACAAAACCGGTGACTGACTGGTTCTACGTATAAAACTGAAGAAAATAAGACCCCGGTTGTAGCTGTAGAAAAATTAATATGGTTCTTTTAAGTAATGTTAATAAATGGAACAATAGAAGTAGCTAACGATAATGGTAAAGAAAAACAGAGATCGCGTATGCGAGTGCGCACGCGTGAAAACGTATCGTCATTACTTTACGTAAGAATGTGAAAGCAACACTTATTTACTGTTCATATATATTTTAATTAATGTTCCTGAATTTGTTTTTATTGAATTAATGTTTGTGTGTGCAAAATTAACAATACAATTTATTACTAATACGTGTAATATTAAAACGCGCGACGAGACGAGACGGCTGCCGGCATTGTTTTTGTTAAAGCTTACAAAACCGGTGACAGATTGGTTCTACATATAAAACTGAAGAAAATTAGACCCTGATTGTAGCTGTAGTAAAATTAATGTAAAAAAATTAATATGCTTGTTTGAAGTAATGTTATTTAATGTTAATAAATGGAACAATATAAGTAGCTAACCATCAATGGTAAAAAAAAAAGTGAAACTGAGCGTATGTAAGTGCGCAAACGTGAAAACATGTCGTCGTTACTCTACTTAAGAATATGAAAGCAACACTTATTTACTGCTAGAATATATATTGAAGGGTTAAATGTTATGCTCTGTATAGACAAGCACAGAGAGAGAGCTGCCGGATGTAAACAAACCTTAATTTCCCCCGGCTTTGTCGTTGTTGTTTTTTTACGGGGATTAGCCCACCCGGGCATAGGTCACTGACCCACATTGGGGCCTGAGGGGCAAAAATTTAATACTCCTGTAAAAATAATAATAATAATAATAATAATCAAGATTAAAAAAAAAAAAAAGCTGCCTATCTACCTATTGGACAAACTAAAATCGTTCCGGATCACAGAATGCCGGACTAGAGAGGTACAACCTGTACTCTAATACACTCGGCTCGTACGCCCAGTGACACGACGTGAAGTGACGACGTCGGTATTACCTCCCAGCGGCGTTTCTCCGTTTGCCGTTAACGGCGTCGTGGGCGAGACCGGACGGGTCTGTACGGTCGAGTCTCGACTTGTCGTACCGAGGTGTGTTGTTGGTCCTTGAAGCTTCCTGGAAATGTGACCAATAGCTATATAATACACAACACTGTAAAACTATTATATTATAGGCAGGGATTATTTGACCGGTACTCGGCACAATAACCGCCGCTTATTTGACAGAGATCTAAAATAAAACTAAATCCTTTTGTCAACAGAAATTATACAATTAAATAATACCATAATGTAATGACTTGTTTAATGCCCCCAACCATCCCGACTACAATCCTATATGATCCCCGCAGGTCCCGGTCAAATGGCCGACGGTTATTTGGCCCAGAATCGTGGTCAAATAACATCTTCGTACACTTATAATAAAGGCACTTGTTTGTTTAGTACCACGTGGAGAAACTGATTACTCAAATAGGTTAGGTTAGGTTGAAATAATCTTGTTCCAATGGTTTTTGATGTATTTTCAACTTTTATGACCTTCGGGAAATAGCTGCACGGCCAAAACGATAGTTTTACCAGTTTTTACTTGGATTTTTTCTAATAAATAAATATGATCTTAATTTCCTTACACTAACAAAAACAATGAATCTTCCAAAGTGAGTTAGACTTTCAACATGAAGGGTTAAAAAAACAACATTGAAAACCCTACCTAACCTAATCTAAACTACCTAACTTCTTGCGATGGACCAACAAAAACCGAATCGGCATACCCGGTTTCGTACGCGTCCAATAGTGTTTATATTTCGTGGACGCGACCGACGTAGAACGAAACTGCGACGATCTCGACGGATTCTTATCATGCTGCCGGGAGAGAGGCACAATTTTGCGGGATTTATTATTTAAATCTCTCTGCTGTGACCAATCAGAGGACAGTGCAAATTTATTATGATATTTACACAGGAGCAAAAACTTTTTTTCTAGATATATTTAAGCCTCCTTCGTGACCTAAACGTTGAAGACGAGAACCGACTCACAGACAAAACATTAAAACACAAAAACAAAACATTAAAGAAATAACTTTTTCTGTTATCATTAGTTAAATACAGCTACTCCTCGACTTACGACCTACTCGACATACGACGGAGCGGCCATTTTTTTGGTCCGGTAAACACAGCTGTGAGCGCTAGCTCCCAAATTTGGGATGTTTTCCAGCTTATTACATTAACTGAAGGATATATAGACTTACCTACTTGTGTATAAGGACCCGAGGATAAGATAAGTATCGTCAAGCAACTTTAGTGTTGGGAACTTACTGTTTACCTTACAAAAATAACTGCTCGGGGTCCCATCACTCCTGGCTGGGTGTTGTGGGATGTCAACATTGCCCCACGGAAAGTGAATTTTCGCTTAAGAACTCTACAT